GCATCTTTTAAAATTATGATTTAAAAAATAAAATGGAGTATAGTTTTAGTTTTGCTTCACTGGCTTATTTTCACTACTTTTACGATGACGTAGTACTCTATTCTCCAAATGCAAAGTATAACTCACTGTTTATGAAAACTGAGTCATCAGCTTTCAAAGAAATCTTGTGCATGATGACTATGTTTCTTGAATCTTTTTTGGTTCTGACAGTAGATGATCAACATTTGCTCTAGAAACGGCCATGGATCCGTTTCATCCATATGAGACGAATGTTTGTTTGTTGGGAGCGAAAACTACAAATTTTTGGGCGTTTTAATTTGGTACTTTTAGTGGCTGCAGTGTTCAGAAACATTTCGTTTGGAAAACCAAAAGTTACCAGAAGTGAGAGGTTAGTGTGACAAGTGGAAGACTTAAATCCGCAGCGTCCAAGAAGCCTGGTTTTTACAAGAACATTTGTATGGAAAAGTTTTTGGTTGCCCATGGGATGGCTATTCTTCTCAAGATCCGTCGAGAAATAAGTTATGGAAGTGGCGGGCTGTCACCACCAATTAGGGTTAGCCAGAAGGTATAAAACCAGAAATCTTTGTTATTTATTGTCTTTACAGCCAGAGCGTAGCGTAACGGTGAGGATAAATACAAATAAAAGCAAGGCGTTTATGACATACTCTGGACCGTTATTACTGTAACTTGCCTGTCTTCTTTGTAGCTATTCTGCGGTTATCGGTTTTATGAGAGAGAACTCGTGTCTGCAAAGAACTACTCTTTTCCCACAGAAATCCTTTGTGAAAAAAGTTATCAGTTTAATGTATCCATAAGTAACAGAGCGAACAATTTCGGACCAAATACAACTTAATCTGGGCACTTTAATCTACATTTTTCATAGAACTAAATATCTTCAGTTTCTTTTCGGAGAGCATATGTTCAGCGTTCATAATTCCTTCAGGATTTCACTTTCCGTTAATAAACAGTAGAGACAAGGAGAGTCTTCTCTTTAAAACTGGATAAAGAAGCGCACTATCTTCACTTTTCATGTGAATGTCATGTTTTGTAGAATCTTTTCTTCTTTAAAAATTGAACCTTATTTTTGGAATGTGGAAAATATTTTGGCTGTGTCTCGACAGATGAGGAAAAATCCAATATAACTGTTATGGTGACTTCATGGAAAAGTGCCGTTTAAACCACTAGCCGTCGCATTTTTGAAATTGATCAATCACCGCATTATACTCTTCTTAGAAAATCCCGTAAGATTTACACAAAGAAGAAAGCGATTCAGACTTGCTTTATAAAAGTATGGTTATTCTTGAAACTAAATATTAAGACTACTGACAAATAAGGTAGCTAGCTAACTCTGTTTCTCAGCCACATGTAGTTTCCCTCTACTGCTTAAATCTACTAAACATAGTTTGATCGATTTGAAGAGGCGGTCATCGTCACCAATGCCCGCTTCTCACGAATAATCTTGTATTCTACGGGAGTGCTTAATAAGTTTTTTAGATTACGTTATTTTTCAACTGATGAGCGAGTGGTGAAAAGA